CAGAACTTTAAGTTTGCCTTTATCACCTCACTTGAAGATGCAACTTAGGTATCTTGAAGTTGAATGTGATCAAGTAAGATAATTCAAAAATTCCTATATTAGATTTTTTAGTTTATCTTCTATCATTTTCTTTGGATCTACACTTAAGAATACCATTCCTGTTCTAGAGCTATAGGAAGTGGAGAAACGCAGAAACAAAAATGTTCAGCAAACCAAAAATTCTAACACTGGAATTATGCCTGTCTGTTGGTTTTGTGGTGTTCTCTTAACAAGTACCCTGTTGAACCCATAAAGAACAGTTGGGTTTAATGATTATAACCTTTGTCTGGTGTATATCTAGGTGTAATGTACATACACATTACTTGTAATTTGTGGGATCTAGAGACCGAACCTGTGGTCTTGATTTGTTTTTGGGATCATGTATATATATGATACACACAGACACACACTATTTTCAGTAGTACACATGCCCGTTGGAAGCTTTTATTTAATTTTAAGCTATCTACTTTATGTTGGTTCTTTACATCCATAGGTGATGGTCTGTTTATTAACAATACTAGGTTGACATATGCAATTTGTGGTGCTATATTCAAGTACAATTATCGTCAAAGATGTTTTAAACTTTGACTTCAAGATGCTTGGGGAAACTTTGATGTATGTTGAAGCAAATCTTTGATCTTGCTTTGTTTGTTTCTTCTTTTCCTTATAAATTGAACTTACTATGACAAATGTTACTTCTAGTACAAGAATGAAATGGTCTAGGTATCCTTTGCTTGCTTACTTGCTTTAACATTGACCACTCACCTCTTGTGTGCTCAAATCTTCACACATGAAGGTGGCACCATTATCTGAAGTTGTTATTGTTAAAGTGCTTCCTCGATGATGGCCTTTACTTTGTACTTGTAATCTATATATTCTTTAGCCGGGATATTTTCGTAGGAGGATGTGATTACATTGGAGGGAAAGGCTTAAACGAGAAGAATGGGAATTTCTGCAACACTCTTAGTAGAAGGCCAAGTTGAAACTCTCCCCATCGTCGGTTATTATATACATGACAAGCAAGTCCTGTTAATTTGTGTCTCTCTAAGAGCATCTCCCAAAGATTATCCAAAAAGGAGAAAATGAAGATTTTGGGGATTTCTGCCTAATTTAGGCTCCAGCAGATCCTCCAAAATGGAGAAACTAGGAAAGAGAATGGTAAATTTCTCCAAATTTGGAGAATTTCTTAAAAAAATATTGCTAATGAGAGAAAAAATTTCTTTCCAACTAATAAGAGTTTTTGAAATTAAATGTTTAGGAGAGAGAAATAATATTTTATTGAAGGTATTGAATACTTTGATAAAATATAATTAATGTTGTAATCACTAACATGGAGAAGCTGTTGGAGTTGAATGTAAATTTTTTGGAGATTTTGATTTTTGATTTTCCATTTTAGAGAAACTTTGAAGAGTCTGTTGAAGATTCTCTAATAATTATCTTTATCTTGAACCATTTTGTAGCCCATATAAGGATGATTTTTATTCTTAATAAATAATATAACCAGTTGTCCAGTTCTAAGCCCTCATAATTTCAACTCTTGTAGTGGATGCATACTTATTGTCATGGATCCTGCAATCATAATTTTGATGCATGAAAACACAAAAACAACCAATATTTATTCTCAAAGATAAAAACCACCCTGATCAATCTTTGTGTGGATGTATATTATGTTATTCCTTCAAATTGAATGTGTGAATTTGCAGAGGTATATTCTTTCTTGAACATGGTGTTTGTTTATGTGAGGTAATATGAATATAATAATGACACCATCATACTAAGACTATTTGGGGAACACATACAAAGGTCTAAAACAAATTAAAGAGTAAAGTTGGACAGGGTATACTTATATTTGTTTTGTATTGTATGTCAATAATAGAAAGAATTTCTTTTCATATTGATATTCTCTTCTTCATGACATTCAATGTGGTAAAACATTAAGGCTTTTCATCTGAACTTGAATTTTTTTGCCTTGTTAAATTTGGTACCCTCCATCTCTATGTTGTCAAAGTGTGTTATCTTTTATTATATCTCACTTAACAAGGTGTAATATCCAATATTTGGAGCTGATGTTCGTAACTTAGCAGCCATCATTGTAAAGCATTTGTGCTTTCGTGTAGAACTTATTCTTCAACTTTGTCAATTTAGGAGTCATAACCACTAAATGGTTGTCACCAATTGTTTTTCAACGTTTTTCATTTTATTATAGTTGCTATAAGTCAAGGCGAATAAGGCTCTATTCCGTCATATTTCTGTTTTTTCGTTTGTATGTCTAGAATTTTTTTCATAAATAGGTGGGCAACAGGAAACCCTTTTAGCATAAGAAGCTAGTATTGCCACCTCCAGAAACTTGCCAGTTGAGAAAATGAGAGTGGTGTGTATGAATATGCTTATACGCTTGAGAAGTCAGATTTTGATGAATGTTATATGATCTTCATTTTCCCATTCTCCTCCTTTTGCATTAACCCGTATTTTTGCATAGTGTGAGATGACAGGTGTTGTAGTAGATGTTGGAGATGGGGCCACTCATGTCGTACCCGTTGCAGAAGGTTATGTTATTGGGAGCAGCATTAAGTCAATACCGATTTCGGGGAAAGATGTTACTCTCTTCATCCAACAGCTCATGCGTGTATGTTGATTTTGGCTTCTGTTTTCATTTTGGTTTTGCAAACAATTTTGTTTTGGGGAAAGATGCTGAAATTTACTGATACTGTTCATAAGTATCTATAGTCTGTTTAGACCCAGAATATTAGTGGTTACTGAAGCCTGGTTAATTCTTTCATGATATTGCCTTGTGCAGGAAAGAGGGGAACACGTTCCCCCTGAAGACTCATTTGAAGTAGCTCGGAAAGTTAAGGAGACTTATTGCTACACATGTGCGGACATCGTCAAGGTAGTTATGGATTTGTTTACTTCAGCAAATTTGAAAAGCTAAACACCTACTCATTTTCTTCAGTTAGCTTGCTTCAGGTTTCATGATTTACGTTATCTTAGCATTGGTCTTCTGTTTTATTTGAAATGCTTGATTGGTTATTTTTCTTTAATTGTATAGGAGTACAATAAGCATGACAAAGAACCATCCAAATACATTAAACAATGGAGAGGTATTAAACCGAAGACAGGGGCACCGTATGCATGTGATGTTGGTTATGAACGATTTCTAGGTCCTGAGGTCTGTTCCCCTTTTCTTATATCCATATTGTTATTTTCACTGCCTTCATGATTTTAACAAATGATGCCCACTTGGATTCTAGTAAAATTGTTCTTTTTGAAGCTCCATGCTCAAGGTTTTAAAAGGCGGAACCGGGAGGCGGAAATATATACACCAAAATATGTATATATATATACTATACAAATATATATACATTTATTTACAATATATATATATATATAATACTGATTTACTAAGGGCGCTGGTTCAGTGGTTCTTGACAGAGGAAGGAGTAAAACACTGAGAGGGTGTGGAAAAATTGGTTGCTTGGAGGAAGACGAAGGTTCAAACCACACTTTTTGATTGAGAGGAGAAAATACTAGCTTTTTGGGTTTTAAAATATTAAAAATACACATTGGGGTGATTGGGCTTTGACTTTTAGTTTTTTAAAATAAAAAAGACACTTATACCATAAAGAGAAATACTACTATGCCATAAAGCTTAAAAAAAAGCCAAAGAAAACCCTTACCAAAGCAGATCATCTGAGGCGAGTGTTATAACTTGACTGATACGAGTTTGGTGTGTTTTGATATTTTCAATGTGCTTAGATATTGTTGCCATTCTTGTGTTAAAAGAAAAGCCGATCTTTAATGTGAAAAGCCATTTGCTTGAGAACAATTCTGCGATTGGAATTCGATCTGGGATTGGGATCTTAGGGCACTGAGAACCTACTGTATAGTACATTCAAGAGTACTCCTCACAAAAAATGGATTTTTAGTTTGCTAGTTATTAGGCGGTTTTATTTCTGATGGTTATAACTTGCTACATTTGATCATGCAGATTTTCTTCAATCCGGAGATATACAATAAAGAATTCACGACCCCTTTACCTGCTGTAATAGACAAGTGTATTCAGTCTGCGCCAATTGACACACGAAGGGCTCTATATAAGGTGTACATTACTTTATAAATATAGGCCACTGTTGACTTCACTAGATTGATCTCACTGGTTGGATTGCTTTTCTATTTAATGCATACTTAAAATATAATTAAGATCAAAGTAAGAAAAATACAGTTACAAAATTACATCAAAAGAACAACCCAGTCTCTCCGCAGCCCAACTGATCAAGATGGTTTCCATTTGAGCAATTACAATTGTTATCCACCTGTTCTTCAGGCTTGATGCGATTCCATTATTTTAGGCATGATCAATCCTCATGGTGTTTTTTGTGCACTCTTCAGTTTTTAAACCTCAAAATACTTTTGTGGATTAATCTGGGTATTTGAGTAAGGGGCTGTTTGATTGGTTTTCCATTAAGTTCTGTATGGATAAAGCTGTCTATGTGGATTAATTTGTCCATATAGATTGGGAAGGTTTTTGTTTGGGAGGTTTTTTCACATATGGAACGAGTGTTTTTTAATTGGAAAGGACAGCTGGACAGGTTTGGAAAAACTTGGCTTTCCGCATAAAGCTCCCCCTAGAAGCTTACTGAAGAAGGGGCTGTTTGGTTGGTTTTCCATTAAGTCCAGTATGGATAAAGCTGATTGTGGATTACTCTATTTGAATAGATTGGGAGGGTTTTTGTTTGGAAGTTGGTTTTTTCATAGATGGAAGGAGCGTGTTTTTTGATTGGGAGGGGCAGGTTTGGAAAAAATTGGCTTTCTGCATAAAGCTCCCAACAAGAAGCTTAGCGGATAAACCACTTTCTATGTCATTAAGCCACAACCAAACAGTCATGTATAACTGACCGAATAAGCTGCAAGCCCCATTGAGCTTATTAAGCTGTTAACAAACAGGTCCTAAGTCACTTTCTATATCATTAAGCCACTGTCAAACAGTCATCTATTGTTGACCGAATAAGATGTGAGTGCCATTAAGCTGCCAACACTTAATCAATGGTTTTCTATACACATCTGCCTATGATCTCATCACTCGCTTTTGATTGATGTTAGATGTTCTAACCAACCACATGCTTTGGTATTGGAAGTTGAAATGCTGGCATAATCTTGAATTTGGACAGTTTGTTTGCTATTAGTATGAAAGATAGTTGTTCCATCTCATGCTAATCTTTTAGGCATTTATTTCAGAATATAGTGTTGTCTGGAGGATCAACCATGTTTAAAGACTTCCAACGAAGGCTGCAAAGGGATACGAAGAAGATTGTGGATGCACGTGTTCTTGCGTCTAATATGAGATATACTAGTACTAGTAGTGAAGTAAAAGTAAGCTTGCTTATCCTGCCTACTATGGAGCAAGTTCAAACTAGAACCATAAATATTTGAGAACCTGACTACCAACTATTTTATATATCATTCATTATGAATATTCATCATGAATGCCTTGCATTTTCATTATAAATATCTTGCATTTTCATCATGAATACCGTATATTTTTATTATGAATATATTTTATCATGAATATCTATCACGACATTCATCATGAATAATCAGTTCTCCGGTTCTCATTTGAACATACCCCACATCATGAGTATTATTCATCATGAATATCATGCATTTCATCATATATATCTTGCATCACGAATAATTGTTTTTCCGGTTCTCATTTGAACATGCCCCCATATCATGATTACTAACGAGAAAGGTGGTGTTAATTTTGGTTCCAGTCGCACCCAGTTGAAGTCAATGTAGTCAGCCATCCTATCCAAAGATATGCCGTATGGTTTGGAGGCTCAGTACTCGCATCAACACCAGAATTTTTCACGGTATTCTTTATCTTTTTGGGATTTCAAGTTTGTTGTTACAATCCTTCCCGCATTTTGTAACACATGGTCAATAATCCTTTCTTGACCTCTGCGTAGAATATATTGGATTCGTACTATAAAATATTTGTGTTTATGTGGTAATTATGTTTGGCTTGGTGAAACAGGCTTGCCATACGAAAGCGGAGTACGAGGAATACGGGGCAAGCATATGCCGAACAAATCCGGTTTTCAAAGGAATGTATTGAGTCGGGCTTCGTATTCGTGTACATTTTGCAGGTTAGCTTTGTTAAAGAGGAGGTGTACACTAGATGATGATGGATGTTTTCATTTCTTGTAAGCAAACAAAAAATGAATTTTATTGTATTCTTTCATTAAGATGCAAATAGGGTTGGTTTTGTTTTTTTAGTGAACCATTTATTTTTCTATATGCAAAACTTATAAAATGAGCACATAAAAGTGTCATCAAATTGTTCCAATATTTATACTCAACTAGTTTTAATGTTTGATGGAATTGATAGAGTAATGTATGTGTAATTGACTTGTTTCGGTTATTTTTGGGTCGATTTGTTCGTTTAAATTGTTTCAGAGCAACTAGAAAGAGATTCTTTAACCATAAATAATTTGGCTAAGGGACTGTCTGACAGTTGCTGAATGATTTGGTGCTGAATGATTAAGAGACTCTCATGATATAGTGCGAAATGAAATATAATTGTTTGGTAATTGTTTACAGTGAAATTAGGGCGTTGAATGGTTAAGGGAAGCCTATGATACAAAATCATTCAGAGGGTTTTAAAACCATTAAGAGACAAGCTTTTTTTGCCAAACAAGATTCAACTCTTAACGATTCAGAAGTTGTCTCTTAATAGAACTATTAAGAGGTAAACAAACAATCCCTAAGATATAGTTGTTTGTTAGTAGCTTAATGAGCTTAACGGAACTCAACTTATTAGGCCAGCTATATATGACTGTTTGGTAACGGCTTAAATATAGAAATTGGTTTATCTACAAAAAATACAAAACATATAATTAAATAAAAGACTCTCAATACAATGTTGTATTGATTTTTTTTAAGTATATGATATTTAGATGCGGTAAATAAAACAAATAAACTCACATATTCTCTTCATTTTTGATGAAGTTTAAACCCTGACCTTCTAAGAGTTTAAAGACTCTGATACCGCTACGACATATGCTCTTTGATAATGTTGTATTGATTTTGCAATACATATAACAATAAAAAGCAAAACTAATACAAAAGTACATAAATAAATTCCAAAGACTCAATAAGTCTTGATTTTTAGATCTTTCTTGATAAGGAAAAGACTTTATATTTACCCATTTATTCATAATCATTGACTTCTCTTTCACTTCAATTTTCTTTTTACCAAAAACATACCAATATTCGTAAAAAAAAAAAAAAAAAAAAAAAAAAAAACTAGTAACAATCTTGAAATTCTTATATAGGAGGGTTGATTTCACTTTCGACCAATTTTCGTAAGACCTGTGAAACCATTTTTTTCTACTTTAAATTTTACAGCAAAACACTGTAAAGATTACCTTTATTATATATCATATATATAGTTATATATAGAAAGACTAGAGATCATATGAAAATAAAAGTTATGGTGATAATAATGAGAACACTTTTAAGTCTTTGGATGAGTTGACTTTTTAATCTAGGTAAAATTCAACTACATTCATCTACCTTTATTTTCAAATTTATCTTCATTTTTAGGTCATTTTAACAAACTTTTACATACATTTAATTACTTTCATTTTTAGGTCATGATGATAAAAAAGATAAATAAAGATAGGTGAATGTAGGTGAAAATATATGAAAGTATAAAAAGTCAACTCATCCAAAGACTTATAAGTATTCTCATCATTATCACCATATACTTTTATTTTCACATGATCTCTCATCTTTCTATATAAATATATATCATATGTACATATAAATTTGAATACAACCCATGTTTGATTACTTTATTGTGATATCATTTTGATATTTGTGTGATGGAGTATTGAATACATCTTCGCTCAATTAATCAATTATGATATCGTTGTGATATTTGTGTGATAGAGTATTGAATACAACCCATGTTCGATCATTCTATTGTGATTTCGACTGTGTTGTGATAAATATATAATACCTTTAAATATGTCATCTGTTCGATTATTCTATTGTGATATTGATTATGCCGTCATAAATGTATGATACAGTTGAATACAACCCGTGTTCGATTACTCTATTGGCGATATCAAATGTGATGTGATATATACGTTATACAACCCTAATCAACGACAAACAATAACCGAGCCGTAATCACTCGATAACCACTGTCTACGATGTTATCACTTCTCCGATGATCGGAGTAATCGCGATTGTGTTATTTGAATGTTATCATTTCAATTTTACCCTTCTCCACATCAAAATATTTTTGATTTTTTTTTTGTTAATACTAATGTTAATTTAAAAAATCCCTATTAATTTGTGATATAAACGATAATGTCTACTTTATAGACTATTATAGCATTCTCATAAATTACAAGGGTTTTCATTTGAACCCTTCCCCTCTCTCTCTATATATATATAGAGAGAGAGTAAGAAGAGATCTAGACCCTTTATCACTTTTGATCTCATCTCTATTTCATGAATTGCTCTTGATACAAGAACTAATCTGATACATCTTATTACTGTTGATCTTTAATTATGATTGATCAAGGATGAATATTCTGATTCTCATAAAAGAAAACCCATTTAAAAATGAATGTATAAATAGTGATATTAATAAAAGATGATAGTATTTGGTGGTAAATTTAGGTATTAAATGGGGGGTATGGACGAAAAGGGGGAAAAGGAAGCAAGAAAATTTAGGTATACGGTTTTTCCCTTATTATAATTATTATTATCAAAGCTGTAGAAAGATAAGATCGTGATTTTGCTCTCAAGAACACCCACTGTACCTGTAGATACAGACTCACAACAGTTTTTCGTTTCGTAATCCCACCATTTTGTCTCCACTCTGATCTCATCTCCTATAACCTAAAACTGGTAATCATCTTTTTTTCGCGTTAATTTTGTGCACTTCTTCTTTGTTTTGCATCGATCCAGCTTCGATCTGATTCTTCTTTTGTTTTTCTTGAATTTCTTTTGTTAGGTAGCTGCTTTCACTTGTAAAACTGAGGAGATTAGGTAAGTTTCTACCATACTTGTGCTTGTTTCGTGGTAAATTGAGCTGCGAATTTAGGGGTTCTTTTTCTTTTTCTTTGATTTTGATTTTGATTTTTTTTACTTATAGCGTCGTTAGATTAGATAGATGGAACTGGAACTATCGTAATGACAAAGATAGGTTTTTGTGTGTATGTGCCTTAGATCTCTTTGTATGATATCATTTTTATGAAATTTGTGTTAGGTTATGACTTTTGAAATATATGGGTGTTTAGTTGAATTTCATTATTCTTTTTTTTTCTGGTTCTTTTCAATTTCACATTCATATCTCAACAAGAAGGATGGTCGATCATGTACATCATTTTCATTCTGATTGTAGGTTGCAAAACAAAGTCAAGCTTTAGAGAGCTTAATAGGTTTAGAAATTGGAAGAAGGTCATTTCCTGTGAATTGAAGCATAGATCATCAACAACTAGGCATTTAGATTTTTGAAATCTCACCCTGTGTAGCATTGACTGTTGACCAGTGATAATGGGGATAAGGTGGGAAATTTTGTTCAACTTTTATTAAACAGAACATACAACTAATAGAAGTTTAGGAACCAAGGGTAAAGGTAAAGCCAGAAAAACACGAGGCAGAGCAAAACAACAAATACTTTTTGCTCAATAGTTGTGTTAAAAAAACATGGGCACAATAAGTAATAACGAAAGCTCTATAAGAGCATCTCCAAATAATGGAGGTTCTTACAAGAACCCACTTTTTGTACTTTTACCCGACACATCATTTCCACCTCACCAAACTAACCTACATAAAACTTCACAATGGTAGTTATTGTAAGAACCCATTTTGTGGGTTCCATGTATTTTTCAACAACAGTAATAATTATAAAGTCAATAAATATATAAAAAAACTAACAAAAAAGTCACTTCACACCAATTTCAAGGTAAGAACCAAGGTTCTTGTACAAGAACTCAAAGAATGTGAGGTTTTTATAAGAACTATCTCCAATGATTATTCTTCTAAGAACCCACACTTTTTGCTTATAAGAACCTTGGATTGGAGATGTTGTAAGGCTAAGGCTTGAGAGTAAGACTACTTTAACAGTTTATGTTTTATAGTTCAAGAATGGATTATAAGATAACTTATCTTTTTTTTTTTTGCTTGGTTTTTGAACTCTTATATGTACAAACACATGTATATAACCTTACCCATTCATCATCTTCTAGGATCTCATAACTTTGTTATCCACAATCATCTACCTATACCCCACGGCTATAACCTTGCTACATATGTTTTAAAATATGTATGCATTGAGTTGAGTTTCATTAGTCCTTTGTTCGCGAAAGACAAGGCAAAGTAGGAAAAGAAAAAGTGATCATTGAGCTTTCATGGTTCTTTTCATTTGCATGTCTCGACAAAAGGAATTTTCTACGTTTTATACTTTTAAAACAAGCAGCCTAAACAAATTGATCACCCTGTTGATTACTTTTTTCAATAAAATAAGAAGGGTACTCGAGCGTTTCTGATTCAAACCATTTAAAATTTGTTTTTTGATATCGAAATCTAAAAAAGCATTCAAAATTTATTTTTTGGTATTGAAATCTAAAAGGTATCTGGTAAAAAACCATTTCCAATAGGATTTGAACCTATTCCACTGGTTTAGAAGACCTCTGTCCTATCCATTAGACTATGGACGCGTTTCACTGCAATCTTTGAGTATTTTTGCTTTCTGATATTTTAACATTTGAATAAAAGGAATATAAGCACAGTCTTCTTTCACAACCGTATCAATTAGATCATTTTGATCCAATTACTGTCCAACTACAATATAACGTTTTGATTGGGGAATTTAACTAGTCAATAAATTAAAAGTCGTTTGCAGTGACTTAAAGCAAGATCATAGTAAGCAAGTGGACCTTTGGCACAAGTGAATTTGTTCTACCTAGTTCAATTTTTTTTTGAAGCTGAGTCATTAGTTTGCAAAACGTTTAAACATTCGATGACAATTGGGCATTTAAATTTCTAAATCTCACCTTAATTGAACTAAAAGAATGTATACGATTGTGCAAATTTATAATATATTTATGATAAATCTTTTTTAAAGATGTACAAGTGAAAAATCATGAAAGTTCAATGACCATTCTATCTATTTTGCCAAAAAAGAACTATGCTTTGAATTTGGGTATCTTAATGTTGTGAATTCTAAGCTTTCTAGGAAAAAGTTTTGGTAGCTACATTATGGTTTATAGTAAGTGTTATTAGTATGAAAATGTTGGTTGTTGGAATGGAGATATGAATTGTTCTAACTTCTAAGAGTAGATGTTGAACTTTAAAGAAGAGATTTTGGTCTTCTTTGGGCTGTCATGTTATTGGTATGAGATCTACCGATAGCATTATTAAGATGCATTATTAATCAATGTTGTCTATTATGCATATGCAGGTTAAGGTAAATTGTTGTTTGTCTTGTCGGTCTTGACTGGGGTGTTGACTTGAATTGATTTGATGGCCGAAGAGCAGTTAGATTATGGAGACGAGGAATTTGGAGGGTCTCAAAAGATGCAATATCATGGGGATGGAGCAATTCCTGCACTCGCGGACGATGAGATTGGAGGTGAGGATGATGAATACGATGATCTCTACAATGATGTTAATGTTGGAGAAGGTTTCCTGCAGATGCAGCGGTCTGAGGCACTACCATCTGCTAATGTGGGAAATGGAGGGTTCCATGATCAGAAAGTAAACGTTCAGGAAGCTCGACCTGAAGCTATGCCATCACAAGATATAAACATACCTGGTGTTGCAGCTGAAGGTGTCTATCCGAGTACTGGCCTGCGGTTGCCTGACAACAAGGAGGGGATGACTGTTGATCTTTTGCAAAAAAGAATGGTTCCTCAAGTGACTAATGATGTCCAGGCTGTAAGTATGGGTTTTCGAGGATCAATCACTGTGCCCCAAAAACCTTCAGTTGATCCCATTAGTATGTCAGGGGCCATCACCAATGAGCCTGCACCTATGCTAAATTCTAATGCAGGTCATAGCATAGGAGGTGTTCCTCAAATGCCAGGTAATCAGATGGGGGCTAATGCTAATGTGAATATGACGCGGCCAGTTGTCAATGAGAATCAAATTCGGCCACCTGCGGAAAATGGTGCTACCACGCTCTTTGTTGGGGAGCTACACTGGTGGACCACAGACGCTGAGCTTGAGAATGTATTATCTCAATATGGAAGAGTCAAAGAGATAAAGTTCTTTGATGAAAGAGCTAGCGGTAAATCCAAGGGATATTGCCAAGTCGAGTTTTATGAATCAGGCTCTGCTGCTGCTTGCAAAGAGGGGATGAACGGTTATGTTTTCAATGGAAGACCTTGTGTAGTGGCATTTGCTTCCCCACAGACTATAAGACAGATGGGTGCTTCTTATGCAAACAAGAATCAAGGAACAGCTCAATCTCAGCCAGAACCACAAGGAAGGAGACCTATGAATGATGGGGCAGGAAGAGGTGGTGGAACAAATTTTTCTGGTGGAGATGCAGGGAGGAATTATGGGAGAGGTAATTGGGGACGAGGAGGGCAGGGAGTTCTCAATAGGGGCGGTGGACACATGAGAGGTAGAGGGGCGATGGGACCAAAAAATGTAAATGCACCTGGTTTTGGAAGTGGTCCTGCTGGAGGAGCTTATGGGCAAGGTCTTGGAGGTCCTGCTTTTGGGGGTCCTCCTGGTGGATTCATGCATCCTCAAGGTATGATGGGTGGTGGGTTTGATCCAACATATATGGGTCGAGGAGCGGGTTATGGTGGCTTTCCAGGTTCTGGTTTTCCTGGTATGATGCCTCAGTTTCCAGGCGTCAATACCATGGGACTTGCTGGGGTAGCTCCACATGTGAACCCAGCGTTCTTCGGCCGCGGGATGGGTGCCGGTGGTATGGGGATGATGGGTACCAGTGGGATGGAGGGACCTCAGGCAGGAATGTGGGGTGACACCAGCATGGGTGGATGGGGAGGAGAAGAGCATGGACAAAGGACGAGAGAGTCCAGTTATGGGGGTGAAGATGGTGCTTCAGAATATGGGTATGGAGAAGCAAGCCATGACAAAGGAGCACGTTCAAATGCAGTTTCTAGGGAAAAGGAAAGAGGTTCCGAGCGTGAATGGTCGGGGAATTCAGAGAAAAGGCACCGTGATGATAGGGATCAGGATAGGGAGAGGCATGATAAGGACTACAAGTACAAAGAGGAGAAGGATAATTATAGGGAGCATCGTCAGAAGGAACGCAACGCGGGTTATGAGGATGACTGGGATCGTGGACAGTCTTCTACAAGATCCAGGAGCCGATCACGAGCCATGCCAGAAGATGATCACCGGTCTAGGTCGAGGGATGCAGATTACGGGAAGCGAAGGCGCATGCGATCAGATTAAGTTTGCCAAGCAGTTCATTCTTCTTGTAGGATCTTTGAAGTTCAACTTGTTGCTGTGTCTTTATATCATATTGATGGTGTGCTTTCTGACTCAGCTGACACCATATGCAGAACCCGCTTCAGGATTCAAAAGTAAGTTCTACACATTTGGAAGGAGGCGTAGACTGCAATGCTTAATTATTGTGCTAAAATACATTTGTAGTTTTTTGTGTGAATTTCTTTATTTGGTTGGACATCTAGCACCCTGATGCTAACCTATCCTTATGGGTTACTAATAGTCCTCCTGCAACCTATCTTTAAAGATGGTCCATCTTAGGGCATGTGACCTTGAGATACTTGAAAAGTCAAAACTGTTGTTTTTTCTGTTATTTTTCGTGATAGCGGAGTTATACATTATCTGTTGGACAAACTTAACATGGAAATCTTCTTAGAACAAACAGGATTACAGCCAAGTCTAGATGCAGATGATAGCTTGCCTTTTTATTCCTGATTTAGATGTAGAATATAAAAAATGACTGTTATATTGTAGAAGTTTCTCTTTCTCCTTCAAGTACTTGAAGTTCCATTGGTCATGATTCATATTCGTCTTTTGTCATGCAGCCAATAAGTCAAACTTCATTTTATGTTCTTCATGTGTATTCTCGCATGCTTAAGTGCAATTGGTGGTAGTTTTAAATTTTCTTTGCATCATTGTCATGCATAATAGATACCCATCTTACTATTTTTTAGTCGGGGTTTTTAATTATGTTACAAAGTGTGGATGTGGTTTTGAAATTTGTCATAAAGATAACAACCCGTCATTCCTGCTGGATTTTCTTTTGTTGTTCATGTGCAATGTGTTTCATTAACTAATGCTAAAATGGCTCCTTTTTGTTGTAGATCATTTGTGAATATATAGAAATTTTTGTTAACTAGTATGACATTAGCCTTTGAACTTTAACACTTAGGGGCTGTTTGGTTGATTTTCTAATTTCTATTAAGTACTATATGGATAAAGCTATCTGTGTGGATTAATTTGTCTGTATAGATTGAGAATTTTTTTGTTTGGAAGGGTTTTTTCATAGATGAAAGGAGCGTGTTTTTTAATTGGGAGGGGAAGATATGGAAAAAAAAACTTGGCTTTCTGCATGAAGCTCCACCCTAAAAGCTTACTGAATAAGTCACTTTTTATATCATTAAGCCACTACCAAAACGGTCCTGTATAGCTGACCGAATAAGCTGCGAGACCCATTAAGCTCGTTAAGTTGCTAACAAACAAGCCCTTAGACAAATTTTGCAGCGAGTTCAATTGAGATGCATTTGTACCCTAATCCTTTTGTTGTTTCATGGTCATAAATCAATCGCAATAATTCGGCCTGTAGGTTGAATTCTTAAATGTGTAAATGTTTCAGTGTCTCTGATTATTTTCTTAGAACCAACTTAACTGCAGCTTAGTTACACTTCTCCTTGGACTTACTATCTAATGCTTGATCATATGCTGTGCTGTATAACCATTATTGTGAGATCGACATTTGTTTTACTTTCACTTGCCTGTTTTCTGATTTGATCATGATTTAAGTATTTATGTCATCTTTTCGGAAAAAAAATGATCTGGGTCTGGTCAAATTAGTCATACCGATGGCTGTATAGTTGAAGAATCGACACATGAGTTTATGGCATACAAGAAATTTGCATGATGATAGTGTCGGGCAAGATAATGGTTTGGCTGGTGAATTGAAATATGATTTTTAACTCGGGTGCTTAATCGTATTCAGGGAACAGAATGGCAGAAACCCTTTGTGTTTTGACCTGGATGAAGCCGACTTGATTCATTGCTTTCTTTGGATTCTATGAAATTGGCTAAGTTAAATTTTGCATCAACTGCCCATATCTGCTGGTCTGCACCGAAAAATGAGTGCTTTTTGTTGTTTCTTTTTCTTCAACTGTAGTAGAATTTTTCATGTATATCGTTACATTATCTTGTAAAATCGTCCCCTTTTTGTCACGACAGTCGTTTTAGCATCTGATTTTGTTGTATTCGGGCATCTGTTTCTGTTTCTTTAGGATCATATTCTCGAGTTGTAAATACCATTGTAATTTTGTGCAGCATGTAGCTAGCCGTTTAGCGTATGTTCTAGTCCTGTAACGATGTAATGCCTAGATCATGCTAGTTTTTTAGGCCTTCATGCTCGTCGGTTGCTTCTGTATTTTAAAAGGCTGCAATTGACTACGTTCTGCTATAGTTTTTTAGTTTGTAACAACGAGAATCTTGTACGTTGTAATCTGGTGACATTTTTGTTAGGTTTTGTACTAAAACAACTTCTTCTTCTTCTTCTTCGTCTTCGATATCATAGATTTTGAACTCGATCTTTTTGCAGCTGCTCATGCACGATTTCAGATCCTGTCAATTGCTTTCTTGCTTGCCCCCTTCCCGTTCCTTCCGATGGGGGGCTGTAGTTATCTTGATCGTTTAATGATGATCGTTTTGAATCGTAAATGTAGGTTGTGTTTTATGTGTTAAAGGCCATTGTTGTTGGTTAAGTAACGGGCATGATTCATTAGTGAATGGTTGCCATTTTTGGGTGTTGAAATGGGTTGGAATTGGTATGCCCCCTATCTTATGAGGTTGTGGAGGGTGATTTTGGTAACTAGGGTTAGAGGCGCCATGACTCAAGGCTCGTGTCTGATGTCATGTTAAGCCTGTGGCATACTGGTATGCTATATGGTTTTCGTTACACGATATTTTAGACTTTCAGTATGCCATGGTCCAATCTATAGTTTTTGTAACGCTATATTTCAGTGTCCCGTGGTCCAATATGCCATTTTTGTAGTCAAATATTTGATTTTTTTCCTTATATTATGCATAATATTTGATTTTTTTTCCTTATATTATGCATGTCTTAGTTTTTAGTATATTACTTAATTTAATTTATTTAATATCATTGAATCATTGAGTATTAACAGAAAACATGTGTATATAATTATATATAGGGGCTTAATTATTTGAAAACTCGAAAATTTGTGAGATCCATGAGAACTGCTACCTTAGGCTTTTGTTTAACATGATTTTTTTCCCCATATAGTATTTAATATATTGATTAACATATATTTATTTCGGAATATGATTGTTTCATATGTATTCGTTTTACAATGTGAAAATTTTTATGTGTATTTTTTGTTTCACAAACATACCAAAAAACATTCACATTGTGAACAAACACTTTATGAAATAAATATATGTTAATCAATATTTAAAATCCTAGTCTTAGATTAAAAAGAATCATATGAAATCACAGTTGATGCACAAGTTATCAAAGTTATCACAATTTTATAGGTTCTTAAAAGAAGATTCTCATATATATATATATATATATAGACTTGGGATCATGTGAGACCAAGAGTTTTTCGTGAGACCTGTAAGACCAATTCTCAACCCTTGGATTAAATCCACAATCTAACAATTTGAACATTCATAAACACCATGAAACTTCTCAATAATCACAAAATTGCCACCGTAGAACTTTAGATCATTAGATCATTAGCTTATAAAGTTGATCAATGAACATAAATTGGTCTTACGGGTCTCACGAAAAACCTTTGGTCTCACGTGAACCCAACCCTATATATATATATATGATACAAGTTTAATTTATAGATATTTATGAGTGTACTGCAATGCAATATATCTCGATTTTGAAGTTGAGAACTCTGAATCCTTCATTCTAATTCATGTTTTGTTTTATTCTCTATTCCACTCATTTTTTTTATGGTTTTGACAGAACGAGTCTTTAGTTGATTATCAGTTTTATGTTGTATTTTCTTGTATTAGTAGTGTTCAACGTTTATTTTATATTTAAACATGTATATAGGTTAGTTATCAATCAATTTCATAAAGTTTTGAGAAGCTGCATGTATGCAATATTAAGCTATAAATTTTATAAAAAAATCAAAATTTTTAAGAATGTGAGATAAATGTTTTATGATATAATAATATGTTAGTATGAATTTAATGTACTCATAATTTTGTAACATCAGTTTAAAAAACGGGTAAAAAATCGATATATGTATCAAATTAGAGAGAATAACGCACTCATTTGAAATATAGCTTTTAATCAACTTCTTTTATTATATTTAAGATCAATTAGGGATTGTTTGTTTTTTTTAACTCTTATTAGCCTTTTATGTCTGATTCGTTAATAGGTAAAGGTCATTCAGACTGTTTGTTTTTTTTAGTTTTTCAGATGCACTTATATCTTATTGTCCTCTTATTTAATAAGAGGTAAACCGATATCTTATTTGATTCTTATTGTTCTTCAAACCCTCAACAACGACGTTTCTCAATCGATTAACCTTAATCTATTATTTCTTTCAATCACTCTTTACCAAATCAATCATCATGTCTCTCAATTGATGTATTTAATAGGATTTAAATGTGTTAAATACGTTAATGACATATTTACGTTTAAATGGATTCAAATTATAATTTAGATGTAAATTTCGTAATGACGATGAATAAATATATGAAATTGTATAACTTTTATTTATAAATTCAATAATACTATTTTTAATAGGTAAAATAGATAATTTAAACAAATTCAGACGTTTTATTGATTTAGATTTCAGATGTCAATATCACCTCCTAATTATAAATCAGAAGTGATATAAAAACTTCAGTACCTCTTAAACAACAAACACCACCTTAGATTTCAAAAAAATAAGGTAAATCTATGAGTTTCCAAAACTTGATATTTTTTCGTCGTAAAAATAATTTGAGTTTTTAAAAACCTGTTAAGTTTCTATCCTTATTGTTTTTAAAAAGACAGAATAAGAATATATTGTAAAAAATTGAAACTTTTTATGCATTATTGATTTATATTTAAATACTTTAATAGTTGTATATTTAATAAATTAAGATATTTTAAAGAAAAAAAGTCCAATTGCTTTATAATACGGTACGTATATAGATGTTGGACGATCATTAGAGCTAAAACGAGTCAAATGTGTCAATACATGTAACTCACTGACCTGAAAACTCGCGGTTACCCAAAAAAGAACCTTAAAAGCATATGAAAAGAGAACACGTTAAGAAACAAAAAAGACATTACAATTGCTCGATACTTACTATCAGTAGACATTACATCCATTTTTTTTATAAAATTTGATACGGAAAGACTTACGTTTAAACATTACTGCTATTGTCAGTATTTCCATTATTCAATTATGGAAAACTGGGTTGTTGAAAAGGATGATTGCGGTTAAAAATATAACTGGTTTCTTTACAGTTGATATCGATGAACCAAAATACACCATAAAAACAAACCACAAATTTCGAATGACCATTTCTTCTAACATCAAAATTGACTCTAGATCCAACATTTGTGTGGTCTGAATAAAATGAAAGGCCATTAAATTACCGAAGTTAACGGTCAATCACAACATTTTCGATGTCTCCCCCTATATTAATAGGGCATTGTATCTCATTCTACTTCATCGCAACCACCATCAATAAACAATAAATAGTCTTCTTCTATTTGATTTTAAAAACAAAATAAAATGGCCATCAACCGATTTTTTGTTCTTGCACTTATCTTCGTTGCCATGGTAGCATATGCCTCGGCTGCTGATACAGCCCCTGCCGGAGGGGAAGCTGCTAGTGATGCCACTGCTTCCGCTGCATCCCCTGCAGGAGCTCCTGATGCAGCTGCTGGGGGCCCCGCAGCTGCCGGTGGTTTATCTAGTAGTGCCGCACCAGCTGCTGGCGACGCTTCGAGCTTCAAGGCCTCTGCTGTTAGCGGCATTGTAGGAATCATTGTTGCTACCGGGCTTTTCTTTTAAATAGTTTATGTACGAAATGTAATAAATAGTGCAACTAATGGACCTCATATTGCGTCCTTCGAAGCCGTTTTTCAGATGTCGTTCATCATTATGAATAACATTGTAAAATAATGTTCCCCTTTGGATTTCTTTATATGATTCCGAGGGATGTATATATATGAAAAAAAGAGTTATATCTATAACATGAATTTCATTCGTTGTCATTTCTGTTTCTACTGCATACTCAAAAATGATTACTGATACTGTGAATTTTATACTCCTGATTTAATATAACTCATTTATAAACGATCATTCAAGGTTCAAGTTTGAGGTTTTTTTTACAAACCCGACACTGATAAATTTACAAGTCAATTCCAAAGCTAATACACCGTTATTATGAACTTTTGAGATAAAACATAATACCTTGTATTATGTATTAATTATTAATTCAAACTGATAGTTTTTGAACAATACTGACAAATTTATTTATACAGTTGTTGGATAATTCATACTAAATGTACGTATTATCGCATACATTTCATACATAATTCAAAAATACCAAAATGCAAAATTTAATACCGGGTCGGGTTCTTCTCCGGTTGCAAATGGATCTGCCGGTTCACCAATCATCGATGGTTTCAAAAGATCTATCAGATTATGGAGTGACTTGTTTGATCAATGAATATTAATTAAATATTAAGTTAAATATTGTATTTAATTAAAAGAATATTACTAATTAAATGAAAAATATTTGTTCAAAAGGAATTATTAAATAAAAAATTCTAATTAATATTATTATAAAATGCAAGCATTTTTTTTGTTCCAATATTTAATTAAATTATATAAAAATTAAAAAGTGTTTTTATGTTCGTTATTTTTGTGTTTAAAAACCCGACCAAACCAACGTGAAGTAACCCAATTCAAAACAATGTGATATCTAATCGAGTTGTGACATCTTTAAATTATAGGTATTTGTTTGGAATTGTGTTACAATCATTTGAATCCAACCAACCCGATGAACCCGATATCTTTTTATTTCTTAAAATTTAATATGATTGTTAAGTACCTATTAATATGTATATATATATATATATTCAATATATTCTCCATCTTTATATAATTTTTTCGTATATATGTTCACTAAATATGAACATATATATGCTATTTAAGGAAATTAGTTAAATGTAATATACTTAAGATTTAAGGAATATAAATATTTGTATAAACTGTGATGATAAAAAATGAATTATCAGTAAAAAAACACAACATATTTAAAATTAAAAAATATTTTAATATACCAAATTATCAACCCAACTAAACTGTATGGTTTGGATTGAGTTGAATTACACTTTGGCTTGAATTCAGATTTTTAAACTTGCAAACATTAAATTGAGTTGTTCTAACATGAACCCAACCCATTAACAACCCTGATGCTTAAAAGAAATCGTGATCCAAATAAATTCGCCCGACCCGACTGTGAGAGAGTGGTTTTTATAATTTTAGGGCAAAAATACCCAATCTGACACTCTTCAATCAAGTACACTCTGTGTGCAGATCTCACTGATGTTTTCGCCTTCATTCGTCGATCTAAGAGCTTAATCGAGTGATAGATCTCAAAAATGGCGTTAGCGTTCGATGAATATGGCCGGCCGTTCATAATATTGAGGGAACAAGAAAGCAAGAGTAGATTAAGAGGTTTAGATGCTCAGAAGTCTAACATCGCCGCCGGCGTTGCTGTCTCTCGCATCCTCCGTACATCTCTAGGTCCTAAAGGCATGGACAAGATGCTCCAGAGCCCCGACGGCGACATCACCATTAGTACATTTTTTAACTGATCTCTCTCTCTCTCTCTCTCTCTCTCTCTATATATATATATATATATATATATATATATATGCTTAGATTGTTGTTATTGTTGTTTCCGTGTCTGTTTTATTACCTGATTGATTATCTGATAGGAATGATTTGGATACTACTACTACATTGTTTGATTCACATGAAAGAAATTGGGGAAAATGTTTTTGATGGAGCATGTACATTGTGAAGTAGAATTTTAATGGCTGTCACTTATGGATTTGAAAATTTATGTTGTTAATCATAAGCTGAAACTGTATTGTTATTTTTTGATAATGGCCTGTGTCACTAAGGAACTCATTCATATGCCCCGATAATACTAGAAACTTGATACCTCAAATGGGGTACTCTCGTATTCAAATTTGATATGAAGATTTCACTATTTAAGGTTAAAATGCTGATCACATTAAGGTTTATAACAAGTACTTGAAAACACAAGAATGTTAAGATTTGCAACAAAACCCTTTCTAACATTGCATTTGAAATGCAGGGAGTTTCACCTATTTTTGCAGGGGTTTTGTTGCTTTTGTGTCAAAAGTTAACGCATATATGTCAAAAGCTGTTTAAAATGGGGCTATGGTGAAGAGGTAGAACAGGGGATTGGCTGGTAGGATTCAGACAATGAATAAACTGAAGAATCTTGAAAATTGGTTTTGAGATTCATTTGCTTATCTGCAATGACATGTACTAGATGTTTGCCTGTGTATTTTTAAATGACACACATTTCTAACAAACTTCACCGGTGAAGTAAGGCTTTGTGTCAAGTAGGTTCGTGAAGGTATTTTTATAAAATATAAAACGAGAAAAGTCTTTTCAAGAATTTTAGGGAATATACTATGCACAATCCTATGAGCTTTTGCTCACTAAAAGTTGGAAGCATCTGTTAGTTTAACTGCTGTTTTCCTCACAATTAACTTTATTTTCAGCAAATGATGGCGCAACGATCTTGGAGCAGATGGATGTTGACAATCAAATTGGAAAACTTATGGTTGAACTGTCCCGAAGTCAAGACTACGAGATTGGTGATGGAACAACTGGTGTAGTTGTTATGGCTGGTGCACTTTTAGAACAGGCTGAGCGGTTGTTGGAACGCGGAATTCATCCCATCCGTGTTGCAGAGGGATTCGAAATATCTTCAAGGATTGCAGTTGATCATTTAGAACAAATCTCACATAAGTTCGATTTCAGTGCTACAAATATAGAACCTTTGGTTCAGACTTGCATGACTACCTTATCCTCTAAAATGTGAGTTCCTACTATATTGTTTCCTTGCTTTAATATCATGCTTTTGGTAGTTCATGGAATGATCACTTCTGAGAGTCATACTCCCATTTTTTCATTCTCAATGTCATTTTTTTATCTTTCTTTTGTTGGGGGTTGGATATGTTGTAGAACAGTAAAAGGTATTAATAAGTAGGTTATACTCCTTTCTCAACCGTGAATGCTTCCCTGATAGTTTGAATTTTAATTGAGTTGGTCACTTTTATGTTACATATTCATGACTGCAAGTTTGTGAATTCTATGATTAAGGTTTCTTTCAAAGAATTTTAGCATATGAATAGCAGTCCCTGGAATTTGGAAATAAATTAAAATTCAGTAAGAGTACAATGTAGCTGCTAGGATTTTCTGAATTTGCTTAAGATGACCTTGTAGGAACACCTAAAAGAATTCTTTTTTGATTTCACATGAGTAAGGGAATAGTATAGCAGATGGCCTTACTGGCAGATTTTGATTGCTGGTTGCATTGCAATTTTTCTTAAACATTATATTGTGCTACTTGTCTTGTATTTCATTTAATCTAATTGAATTCTACCTCTCAGTGTGAACCGATGCAAGCGTAGTTTGGCTGAGATTGCCGTAAAGGGAGTCATGGCCGTTGCTGATCTAGAGAGGAAAGATGTTAACCTAGACCTCATTAAAGTGGAGGGGAAAGTAGGTGGGAAATTGGAGGATACAGAACTTATTTATGGAATTATAGTTGACAAAGATATGAGTCATCCTCAGATGCCAAAGCAAATTGAAGATGCAAAAATTGCCATCTTGACTTGTCCATTTGAGCCTCCAAAGCCTAAGACCAAGCATAAGGTTGATATTGATACTGTTGAGAAGTTCCAGACTTTACGTGAGCAAGAGAGGAAGTACTTCGATGACATGGTTCAGAGATGCAAGGTAAGATGACAATTTTAATGTTAACACATCCAGTCTCCGGATATTGGTCTATGTGGTAGTTGATACATGTTAAAATTGAGCTATATAATCTGTACTTTGGTTATTGGAACTTCATGCCCTAATAAGTCTGACCTTTACTTGATTCAGGATGTAGGGGCTACGTTGGTTATTTGCCAATGGGGCTTTGACGATGAAGCCAATCACCTATTAATGCACAGAAACTTGCCTGCTGTTAGATGGGTTGGTGGGGTAGAACTGGAGCTTATAGCAATAGCAACTGGTTTGTGGTCACTGATTAGCTATTTAAAACTAAGTTTTGTGTAATATATGCTGTTACTATAGTTGCTGAATACCTACTTTCTGCTGCTATTTTTTGTCTTGTACAGGTGGTAGAATTGTTCCCAGGTTCCAGGAACTAACACCTGAAAAGCTAGGAAAGGTAATTTTGATTCATGCTTTCTTCTTACTTCTTTACACTATGGGAGCATAGATATACTGATGTGAATTCTGGTGATACGGTTTGTGATGCTTGGTATTGTGTCCTTTGTTGGCAAGGCACGATAAACAATTACCGTATTGGTTTGTTTAGGTGTGAATGCGGCTAAGAGTTCTCAGCCTAATTATTGATTATTTATCAATAGATAAATCTTTTTATAAACTGCAGAGAGTTGTTGCATGAGTGATTTTGAATTTTTTTCAGTATCATTTTTGTATGCATTCCACCTTGATATGTTCAAAGGATGAAATAGGTTTGATTTGTGGAGTAATAGGTTATGCTGATTTGCTATGCACATAGCAACAACATTGCCTTATTCGTCCTTGTATATGCCAATATTCTTAAGAATGTAAAAGGGTTCCTCTCTTGTAAAGAGATTCTACCACAAAACCAATATATCATATCTTTGTTTGCTATAACATTTATAAAGCCTGTGCACAAGCAAGTTGATTGTTTGAGCTTGGAATGTCCACCTGAAAAATCATACATTCTGATAATTGTATCGAATAGCTAAATATTGGTATGGATTATAATGCTTTTCCCACAACTTAGTTAGCCTAATAATCACTTTTGCAGTGGAGAAATGAACATTATGCTCTATGACATTTGATTTCATGTTGTATGTGGTATCACTTTACTTAAACATTTGACATCGGTTGTGCATCCTAATGTAATATAGTTATCTTCTTTATGGACAGGCTGGTTTGGTAAGAGAGAAGGCATTTGGTACCACAAAAGATCGGATGCTTTATATTGAGCATTGTGCAAATTCAAGGGCCGTGACCGTATTTATTCGTGGGGGTAAGATAGCATTCATGTTGCTTTTGATAGTTACTTGTATTTCTTTTTTTACTTAGCATTATGGATACGGCAGTTTTGGCTTATTCATATCTAATTGTTCTCACAAAATCATTGAGCACTCCGGGAGTTTTCATTCTTATTTGTGGCATCGAGTACTTATGTTATAAAATATATAGTTTTGGGCTAAAAAAATCATAGTTTTTTCTATGTGGCACAAAATGCAGCCACTCTCCACACGTTCACACTCAAAGAAAGGAAAAAAGTAAAGGTGAGGAATGAGGATCACATCAAAATGTTTGTAAAGCAGCTTTCATGAATTAATGGGTTTACCTTATAGAAGCACCTGTCATTGTCCAAATAGTTATATACATGTACTTCTAGAACTACTTTTACTGAACAGTAACTATGCAAAATAGGATAAAGTTAGTATTAAGATTGTCGGTAGTTTGATACGTTATTTATTTTCTTCACGATCCTGCAATGGTAGCACTTACCTCATTCTCATATGTTATAGTGAAAAAGCGTTTGTTACACCATTAAAAGATAGGTCTATTATTCGTAGCAAAAATGGATTATGTTGGACCAAACTCATTATCTACTTTTAACGTTTTACGATGAATCAGGTAACAAGATGATGATAGAGGAGACTAAACGCAGCATCCATGATGCATTGTGTGTTGCTAGAAATCTCATCCGCAATAATTCTATTGTATATGGTGGCGGTGCAGCAGAAATTTCATGTTCAATTGCAGTGGAAGCTGCCGCTGATAAATATCCCGGAGTTGAGCAGGTACCATTACTAAGGGCCTGTTTGTTCGCAGCTTAATGAGCTTAATGGGACTCGCATCTTATTCAGTCAACTATACAAGACTATTTGGTAGTGGCTTAATAATGTAGTAAATGACTTATTCAGTAAGCTTTTAGGGGGGAGGTTTATGCAGAAAACCAAGTTTTTTTTTCCCAAACCTGCCCCTGCCAATTAAAAAACACGCTCCTTCCATCTATGAAAAAAATCTGCCAAACAAAAACCTTTCCAATCCACAAGACAACTTTATCCATACCTTGTTGCATATAACTAGTGTTATTGTCTTCCTTTACTGAAGATCTTTCTACTTTTGTACAGTATGCCATCAGGGCTTTTGCGGATGCTTTGGATTCCGTACCCATGGCTCTTGCGGAGAATAGTGGTTTGCAACCCATTGAAACACTGTCTGCAGTGAAAGCACAGCAAATTAAGGTAATTATGACAGTAACTTGTATCATTTTCTTGCAGATAATCAATCTTACACAGAAAACACAAAGATTTACTTGGTCCACGAATAATCAAAGCAAAAGGCAATAATTAGAGCAGATGGAGTATTAGACTCGGATACAATCGTAAATCGTGGTACCTACTATTTTTTTTTTATCTCTCTCTGTCATACCGCTCTACTCTTTAGGGTAGGGAGTAGAGGTCAGGTCTGTATATATCATATCCTCTTTAGACCCACACCTCCAGGTGGGATATACTGGGTTGGATTGGTTGGGTTTGGTCTACACTCGTAATCCCTACTAAAACTGAAGGTTTGTTTGTTAACAACTTGATGAGCTTAATGGGACTCGCAGCTTATTCGGTCGTCTATACAAGACTGTTTAGTAATGGCTTAATGATATAGAAAGTGGCTTATTCAGTAAACTTCTAGGGGAAGCTTTATGCAGAAATCCAAGTTTTTTTTTTCCTTCCAAACCTGCCCCTTCAAATTAAAGAACATACTCCTTCCATCTATGAAAAAACCCTCCCAAACAAAAACTTTTTCAATCTATACACTCAGTCAAACAGATTAATCCACACAGACAACTTTATTCATACAAGACACACCTTAATGAGCTTAATAGGGTTCACAACTTATTTGGTGAGCAAATACATGACTGTTTGGTAGTGGTTTTATGATATAGAAAGTGGCTTATTGGGTAAGCTTCTGGGGGGGTTTATGTAGAAAATCAAGTTTTTTCCAATCCTGCTCCCAATTAAAAAAACACGCTCCTTCCATCTATGAATAAACTGTCCCAAACAAAAACCCTTCCAATCTAATACAGACAGATCAATCCACACAGTCAGCTTTATTCATACAGAACTTAATGGAAAACCAACCAAACAACCCTTGAATTCTCCTAGTTACACTATTTCTGTTAAGATGTATGTCTAATATATGGTTTGATATGCAGGAGAAAAATCCTTGCTGTGGCATAGATTGCAACGATGCTGGGACAAACGATATGCGTGAGCAAAATGTATTTGAAACGTTAATCGGAAAACAACAGCAGATCTTGCTCGCTACACAAGTCGTAAAGATGATCTTGAAGATCGATGACGTGATTTCACCCTCCGAGTATTGACATGAAGCATGAAGTTTTGGTCTATTATGTATAACATTGCTAGGGAACCTTTTATTATGGTTGGTGTAGTCTTATTTTGTAGTGTGGTCTTTTGTCAGATGCTCATTTTTGTGTTTGTTTTATTTTCAAGAAAAAGAGTTTTACTTTTGGTGTATTTGCATTTGCATTGCATTGCATTGCATGTTGTAAACGAGTCGAGCTTTTAACAAACTACCTGATGTCGAGCTTAATAATTCTTGAACTCGAATCAATCTCGAACACAAAATATAACTCATTTAATTTAATGAGCGAGCTTTGTAACATTTATGATCAATTCGGCTCATTCAAAAACTTGATTAAAATTTTGAAGTCGAGATGAGTCGAGCATACATTTTTCTGATCCACACCTCATTTAATCATAAATCATACCATAAAAATATAAAAATTAACAACCTTGAATTAATAAACCAGTTAATTGATCGTGAGTTTGAGCTTATAAACGAGCATCGAACATAAGCTGGATGACTCAAAAATTATTCGAGCTTGGTTCATTTATGCCGCTATCATGATTTGGAGTTTTTTTTTTGGGTGATTGGGTGTCCGGGTCAAACCTGTAGATAACAAACAATCGGGATAAGGGAAATTGACAAAAATATAGAAAGTATTTTCTGCATGAAGTTTTTTTTTTTTTTTTTTTTTGTCGAAATCAATCTTTAAAGAATTCTGCATAAACTTTGGTTATTTAAAGAAATAGGGTGTCTATAAGATGAACTGACTATTTTTATGAGATTTCTAAGAATAATCCCTTGTAGATTTAACTTTTCAGATTAAATGACCTTTATTACAGGTTCAAAGGTTTTCTTGGTTTTTGACACCTCTGATTAGTACCACCAAATCTATAAAAATTAAATCTAAAAATTTTATAACAAATAATAAGATTTTAGATAAATTTTATTAATATATATAAATCTGATATTAAATTTAATATAAGATTCAATTTTCGTAATGGTGTGGGTTTTGTTTCTCTTGATCGGACGGACCATCACCTCCTGCTTCTCCCCTCATTGATTCTTTTATCGTCGACTTCCATGGATGATATTGATGGAATCAAAGGAAATATGAAGATGGTGGAGGTGCATACATGATCGATTCTTCATAGTTTTGACGATGATTCTCCGATTTTGAGGTTCACACATATATGCATCTCTTCCCCGCAAATTCACATCAAAGAAGACCATCTCCCGATTTCACAGACACGACCAAATCCAGAGACAACCAAATCTGTTTTCAACAAAATCACAACTTTACGATGTTAACGAAAAGCTCCGCACCAAAAAGAAAACCGTTTTCACACCTGAAATTTTCAGGGTCACGCATCGATCGAACCGAACAAGCTCAAATCGTGCTAAAAATGATTTTTTTTCGACGATACGATGTTATTGTGCCAATTCGAGACGATCGGACCAGACGAGAGAAAATTCACGGGACAGGTGAGTTATATACGCTTGGCGAATCGGCCAAACTGGCGCCCCAAAAACATCGACCCTAAAACACGTTTTCTCTGTCAGATTGGTTTTTGTTTGTGTTAGAAAGTGCTCGTAGGAAGTTTGGTGACAATCCGGAGCGGGTTTCGACGACCCACACGACGCACGTTCGTTTGGTTTGGTTGATGCGTAGCCCCAACAATTTGCGGCACGAGAAAGAATTTTTTCCGGCAAAACTTCTCATTAACATTGCAGATGACCCTTGCAAATTTTCAAGGCAATCCGGTACGATCGGACCGAACGAGAAAATTTCACGGGATACGTGAGTTATACCATTGGCATATTAGCCGAATGGGTGCCCCGGAAAATATCAGCCAAAAACTCATTTTCACCATCGGATTGGTTTTTTCGTATTAGAAAGTGCTCGTACGAAGTTTAGTGGCAATCCGACATGATTTGAGCGGGTTTCCACAACCCACATGACACACTTTCGTTCGGTTAGAATGATAATGATACATGGCCTCAACAATTTCCGGCACGAGAACAGTTTTCTATTTGGTGTAAAACTTCAACATTGATGATCCATATAGTGTTTCGTGACAATCCAGCACGGCTGGACCAGACATAAATTTCAATAGCATGACTCAATTTGAGTATAAAAATGTTCTATAAAGAGCAAGAAAGCCCAGAGTATCAAAATAAACAAGAATTAAGAGTTGTTTATTTAGAGGCAGTCTCTGAATTGTTAAGAGATAAAAAAAATCTGCCTCTTAATGGTTTTGTATCCTAAGTTTCTCTTAACCTCTTAAGTTAAGATGCATATAAAACTTCATTTAGACTTCCATACCATACAACTATCATTCACATATGAATATCCAACTATTTTAAACATAAAAATGGAATTTTTAGAATCAACTTGTTTCAATCAAATAAACCTTACTTAATACACACATGCAATTAATAAATATTTACCCCTTTTAGAAACACATAGTTTCCTAATACCATTTATCTCCTACCCCACCTACCTACCACATCTTCACAAATCCTTCCTTGTTTCTATGTACACACATTGACATTGACATGAAGGGAAGGGACAACACCAAACTGAAAATACAACACAAACAATCCCCCATCAATTAGTAGTCATCATCATTAAATTAAATTCCGGGCTAACTGAGATCGAGTTCGACACGCTCTGGCGTCGGCCTCTCTGTTTGGTTAGCCACGAGTTCCACCCCTAGCTGCCCTTTGTCCCCTGCTCCAAATGCATACAGCTTCCCGCTTTCCGTCAGTGCAAACGTGTGGGCATTCCAATAGATCGAGTTCGTGAGGCTTATTTGCACCACCCTTTCCTTCACTTGCTTCAATGATGTTACCATCTTTGGGCTCAATATATTAGCATGCCTATTTCCCTGAAACACCATATATCAGTTGTATCATGTCATCTTGTTGATCAAGTATAAAAACTTAAGTTCTATAATACATCCGTTATATCATGCCATCATGTTGATTTGGTATAAGAAACTAAAGTTCTAACATATCAATTATATCATGTCATCTTGTTGATTTGGCATAAGAAACTTAACGTCTAACACATTATTGTATCATCTCATCTTGTTGATCACATATAAAAAAGATAAAAGGGCAAACCTGCGCATCAGCCTCCGCAGTATTATGGCCAAGACTTGATGATTCTCCACACCCAAAAGAATAAACATCACCATCACTAGAAACTACAAAGGTAGTATAGTCCCCTGTAGCAACATGAATAGCTTTCACATTGCTCAAAGATTCAACCACTTTAGGGACTGAATCACAATCTTCGTTTCCATGGCCTAAACACCCGTATCGGCCCCAACCCCATGTACACACCCGACCATCCACCCCCACCACGGCTGCATGCCACGCACCGGCGGCAACCACCATCGGCTGCAGGTTCAAAGTCTGAAACTGTTCTATCAATCTTGGCTGTTTTTCATCATTTTTCGTCCCGTGGCCTAGCTTCCCTCCCAACCCACATCCGACCGAGTACACAGACCTGTTTCCAACCCAATTTCACAAAATCAGATGCATACATTTAACTCGAAAAACACCACAAGTTCTTGAAAAAACTCACATGCCACTAGGTTGACAGGCCAAAGCAAGGAGGTAGCAGTATCCAGCCGCGATTTGGACCACGGGAATGTTCTCAAGTGCACCCAACAATGGATGGGGTTCAAGATCGGTTGGTTCGGTCTGGTGACCAAGTTTGGTTTCCTTACCCCATGAGAATGTGTACACTCTTCCTTCTCTTGATAAAACAGCTGTAAAGAAGTTCCCAATTGCAGCTTGGACCACAAATATGTCTTTCAAAGACTCAACTAACTGAGGAGTGTTCACTTGTTTACTTCCTTGAACTCCATACTCGGCTTCGCCAAATGAGTCCTTTCCAAAGGCGTAAACCTGCCCACAATCACTGATCAGCATTGTTCGCCCCGCCCCCGCTGCAGCATGTATGATCCGTACACCTTGCAAGGATCTGCACCAAAAGTTTCAAGAATCAAGAACGGGCAAAAACTGGTTAAAAGTTTCAAGAATCAAGAATGGGCAAAAACCCGTTAAAAGTTTCAAGAATCAAGAATTCAAGATTGGGCAAAAACACGTTTAAAAGTTTCGAGAATCAAGAATAGCAACCTGATTACGCGAGGCTGCCACTCTTCTTCAGTGGTGCCATGGCCTAGTTGACCCGAACTATTGGACCCAAAGGTGTAAACCAAGCCTTTTGAGGTCACGGCAATACTATGCCCTGGTCCAGCTATGGCCTGAGATTTTTCTCTCCGAGAACATGTTTCTCCAGCAAGCAAGAATCTCAGAACCAATTTCCACGAACCCCCACATCGTATTTTCAATTCATTACGTTGATCTAAAGTCATTGGTTTAAAGATTGCTCTTTTCTGGCACATATCAAGAGCTGCAAGCTCAGATAGACAGAGCTCATGATCAGGGGCAAAATGGGCAGGTTGCCTAAAGAAAGAACATGTAGCCTGCAAACAAACACCAATTTTCACATAGAAATCAGCAGCACCATCAATTCAAAATGTCGGGTTTAAAGTACATTCATCGCTTAAATATCGAAAAAATATTAACTTGCCTCTAACTTTGCTAGATCTTGAGGGTCTAGATTACATCCAGTGAGAACATGAAGCACAATTGATGGGTTTGCAGATAATGGGAATTCTCCTGGTGTTGCATCTCCGAAACAATGCCGGGTTTGTCGTTGAAACGACGGTCCAGGGGACGTAACGATCGTTGGAATCGGTTGATCAGGGAGGTTGTGGTATTGAATACTCGGTGTTCCACTTGTTGTGGCATCCATGGGCACTGCTCAATTCTGCAGTGCCCAAATTAATCAAGATGAGAAGATCTAACTGCTAGAAATCACATAAAGATATGTCAAAAATCAAACACATTACCATTTCTTGGGGTTCTTAACTCAAATATGCTTTTGTAAAAAAAACTACAAGAATAGCCACTCAAATATGTTTTTGTAAAAAATGTATTTTTAGGTTATTTTTGTAATGGGTTTTTTTATAAAAGGCTATTTGAGTTAACAACCCCATTTCTTGTTCTATTTTTGGTTATAAACCACATGATTCTGTTAATCTATTGACTCAAATTAGCAAGAAACAATGGCCATACCTTGAATTCTTGCTTGGTTCCAAAACCCCAAATCCCAAAATCTACAAAAACATCAGAATTCAGAACACAATCAAATTGGAATCTAGACACACATCCATTGCATACCCAAGTGCAGAAATTGTAATAAACTGATTCAAGGCCAAAGTCAAATAATTTGCATTGATCATACATACAAGATTGCATTAGTGGAAGAAATTTAGTAAGACAGGAAACCAAAAAGGTGTGGGTAAGCCAAAGATGAACAAAACCCATAAAGGACACTGTGGGATGAAGAATACTATTGCTTCAAGGAAGGATATTCCACCATATCCAAAAAAGAGAACTTTCATTCAAAGCATCAAGAACAAGAACAGAATGGTTGGATTCTTGCCAGAATTAAGCAATCATATACAGAATCAAAGAATCTGAGGACAAACAAAGCCATGATCAACCCACATACATATTCTTACAAGATCATCAAACAATCCAGTAAAGAAGTATAATCCATCACTAAACAGAAAAGAAAAGAAGAGAAAAAACCCATCAAGTAAAGTTTGGTTTTGGGTGAGATTGTACATTTATGATCATCATACATCAAGAAAACAAAAAGAAATTACATGTGATCAAGAAGATCAAGATCCGTCAAAATCCAAGAAACATCATCAGTTTCTGATGGAAGTATGAAGAACCCATCAACCGATTGAACCAGAATATCTGATCAAAACTAATTAGATTGAATTTTACGATTTATGGGTGTTGGTTTTATACGGGTAGAAGTTAGATGGATGAATGAATGATTAAAAGAAGGGTTAGCAGATGGTTCTTGTTTGTTGGGTATTTGAGAAATTGGAAGAATTTAGAGAGAGAGGGATTCTATTTGATGAAGAAAGGGAGTGAATTTAGAATTAGAGAAAAGGGAGGAAGATGAGATAAATGAGGAGGGAGGTTGTGTTGTGTTGTGTTGTGTTGTGTTGTGTATTGCAATCTTGGGATGGGGTGCGATGAATGGACGGGTCAAATCCAATTTGGGGGGTTTTCTTGTATACGTTTCCTCTGAGAAAGATGGATGATGTGTCCTTTGCTCAATGATTCAAGATCATCACCTCTTCTCCTATTTTTATACTTTTTTACTTGTATTCTTTGTATTTGTATCGGTTAGGTTACGTTGATAATCGTAAAAACATGAAAAATTAAGAAACATCTTGGTAACAGCTCATTTAGATAGTATGTATATGTATATACAAGTAATTTGTTTGATATGTATATATACATAACATATATACGTGTATAAAAACCAAAAAACAACTTTAATTACTTGTATGTACATGTACATACTGTCCAGATGAATGTAGTTACCAGGGTGTTCTTTGATTTTTCATTTTTGGAGAGTTTTCCCCTTAACCTTCCTCGTATTTGTATAATGCAACACGATATTTTTGGCAAAAAATGATTACCGACAACCCAACCGGCTTCTCATTGAATCCACCTCCAAGCACACTAATGTAGGGGGAATTTTTTTGGCTTGTTTAGCAGCCAAGTCTAGCGGGAGGCGAACCTGATGCTCGTCTCGTATTTGGACAAAGTCACCCCACATTTTTGCCAACTGAGCCACTCACCATAAGTAAGGAAGCACGATATATCTTTATTTTATTTTTCTTGATTTTAATTTATCGATTTATGTGGTGTGGAGACAGTGAACGGGTTATCAGTTGGTTATTAGCTTTATGAAGTGTATTAGTAGGGTTCAATACTAAAGTTATCAGTTGCACATGTATAGCCACTCTGGGACCCGTTTTAGCAGGGAATCCCCGTCCTCGTTCGGATCAGGTGAGTCAGGTTTCCTACCGAGTCGGGGCAAATCATCATCCTTAGTTCACAATAAGAAAACACACAATTTTAAAATGTGTGTGTATTACATTTTTTAATTAACAAAATGACAAAATTTCTCTTAATAACAGATTGAGTAATAAATGTTTATATAATTCTATCTCGTGATTAACAGTATAATTAGAAAGTTGACAGTTACTTTTAAAAAGTAACATTTATCGTGAGATAAATTAAAATATAAATGTAAATATCTGTTTTGGGCCAATGGTATAAGATAATAACCCTGCTAAATGCATGAAGTAATAAAAATTGAATCCATAAGGACCCAATAAATAAAAGGTGGGCAAAATACATGTACCTTTATATATTGCTAAATGCACCTCTATCTATTAATTTTCTATTCACATCAACACCAAGACTTACTTTCTATATTTCAATACATGACTTGACCTGATTTTGACATAAAATATATGCATATCCAATATATATATATATATATATATATATATATATACCAAAATCTTTTAATCAACCAGTAACATCGTACATTAATCACTTCTTTTAAAGATATACATCTACAGTTGTTTTTCTATTCTCAAATAAGCTAATATAAACCTCGTTTTTAACTTTCTATAGAGCATATACAAGTTCCGAAACCTTTTGCTCATGTTGTAGCAAGTCGTTGCTTAATGTTACTTGCTAGAAACGCTCATTTTGAAGAGACATTTGTGACAACACTGCCATCGTCTTATTTATAATTATTCTCATTATCATTAATTTGTTGATTTGTGCCTTTTTAAAATTGACATAAAGACTTTCTGCATAAATCTTTCCTTATAAGTTTACTGAATAAGTCATTTTCTATATCCCTTAAGTCACTATTAAACAGTCATATATAGCTAACCGAATAAGTTGTGAGTAATATTAAGTCTGTTAAACTGCTAACAAACATGTCTTAAGCTTCCACACATCTTTAAGAGTGACTTGTACATTTTTACACTGAAAAAAAACTCTCTTAATTAATAAATATATATTTACTAATATATAAATATTAAATTTGTTAATATACAACCTCGTTAAATTCATATCTTTTACCCAATTTCATGGATATTACTTTATTAAGTTTTAACTAAGGGGCCGTTTACTCGGATAAATGCTTATCAAGTCATATTATCTTATCGGATGAATATTGTAAGAACCAAAAATCTTACTTGCTAAGAGCGAGACAAGGACCAAAACTCTTACCCAGTAAGTGAGTGCAATGACTCTTACCACGGTTAACGTTTACCGAGTAAATTGTTGCATAAAATGCCGTTTTAGTAGACTAAAGTCTTACCTGATAAGTAAGTCATAGTGTTGAATTTTATCCGTAAGTATTTAATAAACGGCCTATAATTTCTCGTATATTTTTAAAAAATAAAGTACATTTAAATTTTTCATGAGAATATAATTCTTTTTTGATTAATTAAAATGCACGTATTTTATGAAAATAAGTTAAACAATTAGAAATGGATTAACGTATTCATATGTCTTTCAATAGTAATTTAAGCAACCAAACCAATACATGGACAAAAGTCAAAATATTCCAATTTTTCATTATTTTATTCCACAATTATTTAGAATATGTATTTTCTCTGACAACCCTTTAACTTCTTGTTAGTTTACATTTACACCCTCCATTTTTTCCCCTTAAACCATGATAATTTGTTGTATGTCAAACTTCTAGCTCTGATGTTTATGTTAGTATCACAAGTCCTAAACTGTTAGATGGGACAAGACTATAAAGAACTAACCATCAAGAAAAAAGTCGAGAACCATCAGGTGCCACGTTGTTTATAAAGCTCGACGAACGACTCAAGGGTTTTTGTGTTCTGGTCAGGAGTAGGGTTTAAAACCATTCATGTGGATGTGGTGACATGAGGCGACTAAACAGTTATGATTGAACCGTAAAAATGTTGTCTGGTGTGACAGGTCAAGAACTTGAAGTCACTTTAGTTTATATATTATATTTTAGTCCATTTTTAAATCTTAACACGTTAGTACATCATTACTATTCAATCATAACAACCAATGTGTGATATATATATAGGCGGTTTTTGGTCATTGAAACTGTCGTCAAACGCAAAGGTCTGAACCACAAAGTTGTGTTTTTCAAGCCGAACCCTAAAAAGGTCTAATTTGGTCTAGTTCGATCGGTTTCGAAATGCAATTAACGACCACAAAAAAATGTAATGGAAAAACTTATGGATCTCTTATAACCAAGGTCTCACGTTTCCTACTGATCTCAAGAACCCTACACTGTTTCACATTTTTTTTTATCAATCGCCCATGGACCAAAAACTTGAGGGAAGTAAATGTAATACTTTGAATTTAGGGGGTACGAAATGATATAAGACATATTTGTTGGTGCTTAAAAGTAAATTCTTATTCAAGATTCAAGTAATCCATTTATTTGTTAGTTAACCCTACGAAGATGCTCCACGGGACTTGACGTAGACGCTAACACATCAGGTTTTTTCTTTCATTCTTAGGAAAAAATATTATCAGATTCAACTCAGTTACGTAATTGTGACGGCCAAGTCTGCAATTATGACGGTCAGGTCCGCTATTACGACGGCCCCACTTGCTAAATTTGATTTTTTTTTGTCTTTTAGCCAAGTCAACAATATTATGGATGTGGATATTGCGAACATAATGATGTTTGGGTAAACCCGAGAGATAAATGGTGAGAAAACCAATTTAAATGAGTGAAATGACTATTTGAGTCAATTTCCCTGATTTTTACTCGTAGTTTTCATTAAATTTTAAAAATGTATTGGTTAACACATATTTGTTGAATCGTTTCACAATTTGTTTGTTTTATATGTATTTGATTTACAATATGAAATTTTTTTACGTGTATTTTTTGTTTCATAAACATGTCAAAAAGGTTTACATTGTGAACCAAAGTACATGAGAAACAAACACATTCTGAAACAAAAGTACATTAAATTCTAGCCATAAATGAAAAAAGTAATATGAAATAACACATGATACATTAGTTCTCAAAGATCTCAAGATTTAGAGAGCTCACAATATATATATACACACACACACACACGCATCTCTACCAACTAATTTCTTTCACGAACACATTAACATCAAGACTTATTTGTTATATTCTCAATGTATGATTTACTCTGATTCTAACATAAAAGTGGTATATGTAAATTTCTCAAATAATTTATTTTAATTTTAATTTACCAAAATTAAAAAAAAATGTGACGAATTAATTTTTAACCATTATATTTTCATTTTTATTGCAATGTAGTTTTATAAAATAAAACTATAGTTTTTGGATTATTCTCCATAAAAATGGCTACTATAGTATTTAGTTTGATTTTTTTTTAAATTCAACAATTTTTATTTTATTTTAAATGGTTTAATATTTAAACTATTTTTACATGAAAAATTATTACACTTTTTCATTTTAAATGATTAAATCCCTAAACTATTTTTTTGAATAAAAAAACCATTAAACTTTCACATTTTAAATGATTAAGACTCTAAATTAAAAGAATAAAAAATAAACCATCAAAATTTTACTAGTAGATTAATGTAAATTTTTTTGGCTTTAAAGAATATATGTAACCAATTTTTAAAAGTGCAATGATTTATTTATTAAAAAAAGTTCAAGGTCTTAATAAATCAAAATGAGAAAGTTTAATAGTTTTTTCATTCAAAAAGATAAAATTTAATGATTTTTTCTTGCAAAAAGATAAAGTTAAGAGACATAATCATTCAAAATAGAAATTTTTGTTGGTTTTTTTTTGAACTTTCGATAAACCATAAATATTTCTACCTACAAAAACTTGATATTAATGTAAAACAACTAACAAATATAGAAAAAAGATAAATCAGTTTTTATATGCTCAACATATAAGCAACACTGTATAAATACTGTATTTTCATACGTATTGTTTCATATAGAACATATGAAAAATGATTTATAAATTTATACAAATTATTAGGATTATGCATGTGTATATAAATGGAGTTTCAAATGAGAACAATAACCAATAACGATCAAATCACATGTGATTTTACACTCAAGTACTCAACGCAAGAGTGTTTGGACGACGTGGTTGCGTGAAT